ATGGCCTACCTTTTCAGGAGGGCACACGCAGTGTTCAATGGCCTCTTTCACTTCTCCACATCAGTAATGGAGAATGCATATAAACTTATTGCTATCATCAAAGGGCCAGGTGGCTATACTTATTAAGAATGCTCTCATAATCTTCCAAAATTCCATTCCATTTTCACAACTTTTTTTGCTTCTATTTTCGGCGGGTCGAACTCTGGCACTGTTGCACAGTGGTCAGCATGCATCGCGTTCATTTTCTGCGCCGGGGTTAAAGTCCGTCACGTCTTCTACACCTACACAAAGGTGTGCATTCTACTTCCTGTAAACTAACTTTTGCTATAAATTTCTCAACGTTCTGTACACTGGATGGAAACCCACATTCGCATTTGCCTGATATAAAACTTTCGTCATCAGCGGGCTCATAAGACAACGGAATCTGTTTCCAGCACACCAACTTCGGCTTTATAATCTCTAGCTCTTTTATCTCCATCTTGGTTTCTTCCTCCATTACCTCTTCCTTTAACCTAATTTTGACGTAATCTATCCCCATGTGCCTGCTGACCCTCACACTACCAGCGAAGCTTGGCTAAGGGGGAGAATGTCGACATAATAGAAGAGGCTGCGAAATGTAACTGTCACGATGAACAATGTTAACAGAGTTATCGTACAAAAAAGGAGCAAGTTCTGCGTTCGACAAGGTTTTGAGTAACCTTTCGCTTCGTGTTCTGGTCGTAACGTTTCTAAAGTTTCAAATTTGTAATTCAGGTTAGTGTCCGGGATCCACAGGATACTTGAGATTTGATTTCTTGACTTGAGTACTATAGAGTATTTCCGGAAATCTGTCGGACCACGTTGAGCTGCGCACAAAACCCTAAAAGTCGAATAGTTCAGATGGAGGTTTACCCGCGAATTCGGCACAATAGATACAGTAAGAAAATAAGGATATACAGATCTCAAATTGTGGGACTGCGCCGGCCTTTATACACCGATATAGGAACTGCTGATTCTTAACGGATCTCAAGGTCCACACCGACTCAAGGCTACCTGTTAACAAGCAGAACCACAAATTGACAGAAACAAAAATCTGACGATAAGGTCAAAGAATGGTTTATTTTCATGTCAAAAACAAAAAAGGTTGTATAAAGGCAAAGTCAAGATAACGAAAATGGGGGATTGCGTTGTGCAATATAAAATAGTGGAAGAAAGGAATCGAAAGTGTGATTGTCATTTATCCAACCTTGCTGGTTCCAGGTTCACACCTATATCGACGTCCAACCGAATCAAAATTACCCGTGATTCCACATCGGCTTGGTTCTGCCTTTGTAAATTTCCCTGCCTTACTCAGACCCAGCCTCCACGGGAACGCGCATTTTCTCTCAGGCTACCGCAGCTTTGACGTATCTTATGAGGCTATTCAGAAACCGAAGTAAGTCATTGCAATAATGACACAGAACCTTCGTAACTAGTTCGATGGCACTCCAATAACTATTTTGTCCCCAATCTCGACTGTCCCCTCTCACCCACTCGCAACCCTACTTACCTATACGAACTAAGTTTTACCCACATCTGGGGTAAGTTCGTTCTAGCCACTAGACCTTTTGTTTGGATTTAACCATCCCAGATTTGCGTTACAAGTTCTGTTTAACTTTTCCGCAAGTTCAACGATTTATTTTGTACTGTTAGTTCAGATTTACGCATTAGAACTATTTTCCATCGAAAATATTTTTTACACTACAACAGCGTTGCCATAAGTCTCCTTAGTTTGAATGTAAACTATATTTCTGAGACGACACGTGCCATTTGTCACATCCCGCAATATCGCACCATGCCTAACTTACCAGGATGAGGCGGGAGGAGAATATGGTCTGATCTTTCTCACAAAAGGCCAAAATTTAATGTACACCCAACATAAATATTTCTGACCGGAAAATTCGCCTGATCTCTGACCACATTTTTTGGTTGATGCCACCGGCTTGTTGGTTTAATCTACTCCTATTGCCCCCTGCTTGTCATATTTCAAAAGAGTCTCCACAAACCTGAAATTTCAATCCACGCATCCGTTCGCTTTCGCCAACGCTTTATGTCGCGTTCAAGTAGAGCATTCATCTCGTTTCTAGCACCTGAATCGCAAAACGGGGTAAGGGAACAGGCAGTGTATGGTTCTAGCTCGACGATTTCAGATGATAACTTTCGCCCCCATCACCTCCATACGTTTTTAACCCTTTCAGCTTGACTGTTTCTTCCAGGCGATCAATAACTCTTCTTAATGCGCCGGCAAAGCCCACATAACCAACTTTATTATCCCAAACCAAAACCCATCTGTCCCGTATGCTTCGACCCCAGGCGCTTCCTGCCGCATAGACTTATAGGCTGTGCCACCCCGCCAGTTACAAGAAGCTGACCACGGGAATTTCCTAAAACCAACCAAGTGCTGGAAACCGTCCTCCGGCCCAAAGAGACGGGGTGCATGCCTTCAATCATCATATGCCCCCGGCAATAATCATTTCCACTAAAACCACCTTCTCCGAAGTCGGCTTTAACCTAACTGAATAGTCTAGATGCTCACTCCCAAGCTTGTTATGTGATTCCACCTGGTATGGCTATCCTAAAATGGACTGTATTCTCAAGCGAAACCACTACACCCATTCAGCAGCCGTCCGTTACCTGGGTCACCAGTAGCAAGGTGGCTCAGTGGTTAGCGTGCCAGTCAGCTGACCAGATGGTCCGTGGTTCGAATTCGACCACTGCCTCTCCAATTCTTCGGTATATATTTAAGCAACCTGGCAGTTTTCTAGCTCTCGCGCTTTCTCCTGGCAGCATGGTAGCTGAGCACCGAAGTGGTGCTACAGCTGAACGATTTTTCCGGGTCACCAGGTCGGTTTTCACTCCCGAAACTCACACATCGCATGTTGAAGTCTTGGTCAAATCTTCCCTTACCTGAAGCCTTAAAGGCCCTTGTCGCGTACTAATATTAGAAAAGAACTGTTCTGAGGTGTGGGAAAGAATGCGCAGAACTAAGCGGCTTTGGTCCGCTTCCACGGACCTTGTATTCTAGAATGAATCTCGGCTCGTTGGTAAAAATGAGGACAGCAATTTAAACCAACCTGTGAGAACTCTATCAAGTATCCCCTTGGCAGGGTCGCAGGGGTTGCATCCGTCCTGAAAACCCTCAGAAGTGCGTCACATCTAATTCTTTGGGACAGGTTGATCATTAGCCTTTACTCCCATCCGAATCGTCGTCGAATGAATGTGCTATCACCGTTACCGCCAGCACCCAGCCTAAACGTCACTCACATCGTAATATTCGAAGGCTTTGACAGCCCAATAGCTGGAGCCCGATCTCAGGTCTTAATAACAGCTTTGCCTACGTTGTCTTGCGTTAGAATGACATGCAAACCCGCTCCACCTTGGGCGATTTCGGGCCAGCTGACACTAATCCCCTCGGGTCTCGTTTTCCTCAACAAGCGTTTCATGGCAGACGAAAACACCATAATTACACCGTTGGTAAATGCTACGGTGTCATTCTTTTTTGTTATCCCGAGTGACACTGGCGCATCTACTCAGTAAACACCATCTTTCGTTGCGAATACCACCGTGGTCATCTTGCGCTGAAATGTCACTTGCTGAACCAGTACTGGAGCGAATTATCGTTCGTGATTTTTCTAACCCGCGCTCTATCGCTAGGTTCAAGGAAGTAATTACAGACCAACGAACAAGTTTGGCTTCGAAGCCAATCTAAAGACCCACGGGGGGATTTTCGTGCAAGAAGAGGTTACAGAAGGCAGAAACTGGACACAATTACTCTTCCAAATTCGACACTCGACAAAATAGTTTTCCCAACACATTCGGTACCCAAGTAAAGCCAAAGCTTCATTCCGATATCTCAACCGATTTAGAACGGCTCTCCAAAACCAACACCGTTCTAACTTTTCCCAGGGAATACATAGCTATTCCAAACCTTCATCTCGACACCGGCTACCTCTAAACGCATTAGTTTCATGGTCTAGAAACGATCGTGGTACTCGCATACGAAAGAGCCAAACTCATCTCGATTTGGGACAAGAACAATGGATCTAAGCCCATCAATATCAACAGGGAAGTGCTCAAAAGGTGTGCCGAAGTGCCAGCCCTTCCATACCCGTTTCCACTTCCTTCTTTCTTTCATGCTGTTCTGCTGGAAAAACTCAAGCGTTTCAGGTACCTTGTGGCTGAAGCCTACATTTCAGCTGCGTAAAAATACGGCATAAGCCACTTAAGTTACTGCGCTATTCTGGAGGTTCGCCAAAATCCAATGACTTCACCTCCAATGACTTCACAGATCCTGAAAACACCACGTACAACTTCCATCATACAGGAATCCATGGTAAATTTCCAATCCTTTCCGACAAAAGAACCTTTTCAAACACAGGCGCTCCAGTCGGCAAGGGAGAAGTATCTCTACCAGGTGGCCCAGCGCAAATTTACTGACCGGAAGTTCCGTGGTCCGAACCCTACCTCCGCCCCTCGATTTGCCCTGTTTGGGCTTCAGAAACCTGGGGATTTGCCAGCCCTCCCGCTTTCTTTTGGTGGTACGGCAGCTAGGCACCGAAAGGGTGCTACAGCTGAACGATTATCTCTCTTATTTTTATCTCTCCGCCACAATTTTTCTACGGTTGAACAATCTGGATGAAATGGTTCGCGCACACTTACTCGATTCCCTAAAGCACAATTTTGACCTTTTCCTTCTTCAGCATGTTCGTCAGACCTTCGATGGAGTAGAGCAACTCAGTCCCACCACAAGCCACCACGCATATTAATGGAGTGTGTGACCCTTTGGCTCCCAATCACTGACCGACAAGAACAAAACCCACCCGGGAAACTTGGGCAAAAGCCTCGATCCTGTGTATCAATCCGTGAATCCGTGAATCCGTGTGCAACCCTACCGAGTCTCCAAATCTACCAATACGTACCTGTGTGACCTTGAGAAGCCTTGTGTGAACGAACGGCCCCTGATATTCGTGCAAGAGCTTATGATGCGTCGCAGGCGGCCTTCAGATTCGGACGAAGAAGGTTTGTTCATTTCCTTCATGGGGTTTATTTCATAGACCATTACTCAAAGCGAGATCGGTTAGAGACAGACACCGTTGAATCTCTGATATATCGTGTCGGATCTAAAGTAATTTCTCGAATTTATGCGTCTGACCCCACTAAGGATACAGCAAATATCGAAAAAGACTTAAGCGATCTAGCCTCTCTTATACTGCTCGAGATTCCGCGGAATGGTGACAAGCTGATAAAGGTTCTTTCCAGATGGTTTGTTTGTTTCAAAACGTTTTACTTGTTCCCAGCGTGAGAAACATTCCAGAACGGGTGGTCATTTACGCCACGATGGTCGGACTATTGAATCTAAAGAACAGGAGTTTTGTGAACCAAGTAACTTTAACTGGAAGAGAACATTGCGAACTCTTAGCTTATTGAAACTTTACAGCGTGATCTGAAGGATGCCGTCAAGTCGTCCTACTTTGAAGACGCCAAATATATAGTAGGTGCATTGTTTCCCACTTTCCTAATCTTCCACAGCTTCTGTTTTTAGCGGTGTCGATCAACTGCTTCACGGTCACTGTTAATTCAATTTTGAGCCTTTATGAGAACTTTGCAGAAGTTACCTTAGACGTTGGACGCAGTTCCCAGTGTCGAACTGACTGGTATGCCTATGCAATATTGTACAGTCTCCCTTACGTAAGTTACTACCTTTCCTTAAATTCGGGTGTTGTTTTTTTAACTCAAGAAGACAGGAGAGCGACCTGGCTTGTATATTCGCCAGTACAGAAACCTCACTCGTCTAATATCAACTGCCAAAGAGAAGCATCCGTTTCTCCTGTTGACGAGGCAACTTCTGACCTTAGCTTGCTGTAGGCAACTTTACTGTCCATTTTTATATAGCCACTTGAAATAAAAATCAGAAAGGGGAGAAATGTCTCTGATCCGTGATCATCCAATCGCTTCCTATCAGCATAACAAATCATTCCAGAGGTGTCCACGCAAACCCAAAAGTGGACTTCATCATTTTGTTGATAACCATTCTTGAACAACAGGTGTAGAAAGGACTCTGATACATTACTACGAAGTTAAACAAATCTTATGGGTGAATCGTCACCATCATTGACAGCATAGCATAAATTTCCAATGCCGATATTTCGGTACCGTACAGTTATAGTCTATTTGGAAGCCTTATTCTGAGGGAAAAGTGAAAGTGGATGGGGAGGGGAATTAGTGCTACCCTGACACAGACCGAGGTGTCTATATCTACAGACACTCATTCAGGCAATGTGGGTAGAAACTGATCGCAATTACGCCAGGGACACTGATTGGCAGCCACATCTTGCTTCGTCTCCAACCGGGCATTGGTAAAAACAACCCCGAACAGCCTGAAATCTTGTTTGCTGCTCTCAGGTCGCTGTTTCACGGTCCACCGTAAGACGACGAAGTACAATTGACGCCATGTTACGACTGTAATCCATCTGATCATCCCATGTTTACCCTACTCGTCACGGGTCCCTTTTTTGAAAACGGACAGGATCACCGATTCTCCTCAGTTCTCTGGGATGGGCTCCTTTGCTAAAATGCACGGAAATAGATCAGACAAGCGCTGATTGAGGACTGTGCCCTCATCTGTGGACAATACGGGTTGAAGGTTATCTGGATGAGGAGCTCAGTTGTCTTGAGAGAACAGATCCACTCATAAACTTCTGAAGACGTAAGGGGTTTCAGGACCGCGGTCTGATAAGTCGCCGGGGCAAATGATTGTCGGTACCGGCTGGAATATTCATTCGATATTTAGTCAGTAATACTGTTGTGTCTCAGTGCCCGAGTGCTCCTAGTAGCGCGGTGCTTCCGGCAAAAGTCCCAGCACTGAGCGAAGAGGTGGCGATCTCGTTTCAGCACGAATCGGCATCCGATGGTGGAGCACTTATAATTTCCCAGAAGACTATTGTGCCAGCTTCTCGGTTGTAAGCTGTTTGTCGGCACCTTACACGACCCTAGAAAACGAGGGGAGAGACGGCTCCGGATGAGCGCATGGTCCGTATTCACAAATCTCTTCCTAGACGAGCGTAGTCGGCTGGTAGCGATGTGGTCGATTTGGGTCCGTGCTTTGCATTGTGTTGAAAACACCGGGTGGCCGGGTGACTTTGGTTATTACGGAAGTTAGTACTGCGTAAGAACAGTCTGTCAGCTGGTTGAATGACTCGTTCGCCATTGTCTGTGCCTACCGATTTGGGTCCATGTCGACTACCCAGTTGAGTTTCGGATGCGCTAGGTGTACCACCTTGTGTATTCCAGCTTCTGGCAACGGAAGCGATATCTGAGCCTTTTGCCAGCCGTAACAGGGTGTTCAAGTTGTCACAACATTTGTTTTGGTGGTCGGTTGGGGCGCCAAAGAGATGCGCCAAAGAGACAGTCAGCAACTTCCCCCTTGTGAGACTCCCCCATGGATGTTACCAGATGTACCCCACAGACGTATCACAAGTAACCCGAAAACCATTGATCTGCCCCAATTACCTCCACTTAGACAAGCATACTGAGGGCACTCGCCTGCCCGTTGATTTCACGGGGGACTCAACTGAATCTCCCATTTAGGATAATCTTCAACTGGATGTGCTGCTTTATGTTTCAGTTGGTATGATATTCGAGATCTCGTGGTATATTTTCACAAAGGATACTACTTACAGGGTTGCTGACGATCTGTTTCGCCCTTCTTTGGGTTCATCAGGTAGACGCGGTCCCCGAGTCTCCGTCAACTTGAACACGAAGTGCGCAGATTTCGACATGCACACTAATCTACATATCAATTTGGTCCTCATGGGAGACTCAACTGAATCTCTCTTTTATGATATTCTTCCAAATTCACTCTGCGACATAGGCTAATTTGGTTGTTCATCCTGATGTGTGCACAGTGGCACGGAGATGAATTCCGGAAATATTGCTGACTGGTTGCAGTTGATCTGCCCTATTGGATTCCAGTGCACGTTTTAGTAGTACTTCAAGTTATTCCTCTTAACTGTACGGCCTCATAACATTTAATTGCAGCATGGTTCGTTCTAAATTGAAGTCTCTCTTTAAGTCCTCCGGTCGAGCTAACACGTCATTTTAACTACAGTGCTCAGTGATTATGTGAGCAGCGAGATTCGTTTTGTTGTCCGAAAATTCAGTTTGTTGTCGTTGTTCTTTTCAGAGTGCACAGGCCATAGCGACACAAGATGTAGCCGCCTTGACTGATATCTTAGGAACAATCGATGTTTATATGACGTGAGTTTCCGATGTCACTTTCATTCGTTGACTTTTTTGGCGATTGCGCTTAAAATGCTCGCACAATCTCAAATATTGTTGGAGTGCATCTTTCCAGAGCTTTCAGCCATGCACTTTTCATTCGCCACCAAAGGTAGGTAAAAAATAATTGCATTCTTTAGCCGGAGGTTTGGGCTGTGAGAACGGAGACATTCATACAGCCAGTTCACTATAAGGCTGGAGAACAGAGGGAGATCTCTGAACTAATAATGTCCTACAGTATGTCCGCTACATGACCTGTTCTAGTATTCATTACGAATCAGGTACAACGGAACGGTAATCTCTTAGGGAGATACATGAAAACTCCAGAATAGTCTTGTTATATTTTGCTCGGAATCAATGTCTTTTTAGGGATTAGCCATTAGCCGTTGACAAGCCATTTGGATCTCCTTTTCCCGATTCAGGGTCGGTACTCATACTATTATTTATTTATCTAGTTCATTGTGTTCCAGCGCTACACGTGTGCCTGGTTTCTGAGGCTAGACATGTGCTCATGGTCAGAGAACTTAAAGCCTTATTTTCGTCCACATGATCGTCCACTTCTGTTTCGACTGGTGTGAACTAGTCACGAACTTAGGGCAACGGATACAGCACTTTCTTTAGAGCATTCAGTAACAGTAACTATGTGACCGGCAAAATGGTTTTCGTCGAGTAACTAGAGTTGTTTTTACTCTGTTTAGTACGACTTACAAGGCTGATTAGAACCCTCATACCTCACAGCTGGTGCCACTAATGTGTGGGTGTGGCTCCAGCCAGGAAAACTGGTGGCTTCTGAGTAGCAAGTTCGTTTGAAGGATTTGAGTATTATTTAAATTTCTCATTAAAGCAAACGATTGTTCAACTCCAGAAACGTTCTAATTGTGATGGCGTCCGATGTCTTTTTTCGATGACATTTCATGTTGACGTGAACTTTTCAAACTCATCGTTTTCGTTAATTTCAATGAAAAAAGATTTTCATCGCCAACGGAACGTTAAAAAACGGAATTAGGGGAGGATTACCCAGTGTGGTCAGCAGGAAAGCAGAATTNCCAGTGTGAGCAGCAGGAAAGCAGAATTGGATTGGGTTGTTCTGGTGAATGAATTAAATGAAACTATTCCATGCAGCCAGCATGGTCATAAGTGAGCTTGGGAATGCATGTGTGGGCAGGTCATGACACTTGCCGTGGACCTGTATGGGGGCGAACCTTGACAGAATTCGGTCGTAGCCTGTTGTTAACACGTAATGGAAGGTGAATATTAATGTTGCCGTAACCGGATCTAGTTTCTCTCCGTGGCGAGGCAATTAGAAAGCGAGTTTTCGGTTGTGCAACCAACGCTTCCATTGGAAAATGTGTCCAGCACCAGAAGCTGCGTTGGCTGGGATATGTGTTGCGTATGCCGGACCATCGTTCGCCGAAGTGAGTGCTGTTTTCAATACCCGTTTCAGAGTGCTAGAAGCACAGAGGTGGCCAACCCTTGACCTGGCAGAGGGGTGTGAAAGAAATCACGAAACGTTTGGGTGTTGTCGGTGCTACTCGCCTTACAGAATGGGGACCGCGTGATCTCCACTGCGCCTGTTACATTGGAGTGATGATATCTCGCACTGGATTTCTGTTGCTGATGTAGGACTGATGTCGATTTTCCATTCTTTGGATTCTTCCATAGCTTCTGTTGAAGGATGCCATCTGAACTGCCCTGTAAAGTGTTCAGCACGTCAGCCCGAATATGATTGAATTATCATTCTGTCCTTTCCACCAGTCGTTTCATCTTTTTGGTTAGTTGACCGAATCAGCTGGAATAAGGAGTGGTTGTGTCTTGCATCGAAAACCTTTTCCGTCTCCTGCACTGTCGTGATCTATCAGTGTTTTCCCTCGTTTTTCAAGCTTTTGATTATCCGGCATTTGAGGACCTTCGCGCATCATCATGGTGACTTGTTACCACCGTGACTTTTTCGGCTTTCCCGATCTCGACGGAATCCAGTGTTCATTTTTTCAGGCCCGGTTGCTTGGGCAGGCCGAAATTTTACTTTTTAACTACCTACTCTTTCTTCAACCAATCTTCACCGTGACTGTGCGTTTCAATCAGCTTTTCAACCGCATTACTTCGGTACTGTTGATCTACTGAAACCGGTTGAGATTCAGTTATCCTGATTCGACATGCATAATCCTGAGAGAAAGTAAATCATTGATCCAGTCCGGCCAATGCCGAGTCAATTCGCTTATCCCAGAAGGAGCGGTAGTCTTTGAATTAGGCTCTCCATTAGATAGACCGTTCTGCAGAACACTTCATGTTCTAGTTCAACTACGGTGCTTTGTCATCACAATTTCCAGCATGTGTGAGCGTAGGTCTTATACCTCAATCATCACTGTACAAGTAAGTGATGCCGCTGGTTCGCTGAAAAATGACAGGTTTTTTGACGACAGTGGACTCTCCTCGGAACTGTCCAAGTTTGATGGCGACACTGTTGATAAGACTGGTTGGTTTAACGGAATCTGGATACAAGAATACGACCCTACTTGTTGGACAGTATCGTTCGTATTCACATCTTCAAAAAATGTCAGGAACCCGACCATTCGGAGATCGCAATCATCATGGCTTTTTTCCGCAACTTTTCTAACTTCTATAATTGCTGGAGTCTAGAATGTCTAGAATCTCGAAACGCATTCATTTGCAAGTTAAGATGGTGCTGATGCCAGACTTAACTGGACCCCAGCTGAATCTTGTTTTTACGGCGTTCAACCGAATGTGCTGCATAAAGACAGCCTGATATTCGCGATATCGTATATTTTCTTTCCAAAATGTCGCTGACCTTCACGATAACCCACGATCGGTTTCGCTCTTTTTTCGTCAACTTACCACACAGTTGGCGAATTACTATTTTCATTTGCAAATCAACTTGATGTTAAAGTGAAACTCAGCCAAATTGCTCGTTTATGATATTCTGCAATTTTCATGGGTTTTCGTGGTATCATTTGTCATTTTCATCCGTCCAACATGGTTGCTTGGGGCTTATCGTACTACGTGTCTCCATCTCATATTAATATGCGTCAAAAGCGCATGTTTTCATTGCGCTTGGAGGCGCGAATCTACGTCCGAAGACTCCGCCCACTTCATTTCTTCATGATAGCTATCTCCTTCGTACACAATACGGGAATGCGTGTTTGATATCTCTACTTATGAAGAGTCCACATACTGAGCTGGAATGAACTGATTCAGGTTGAATTTCCTGATTTTCATTGCGAACATATGTTCCATATGTAGATAGAATCCTTACTTGTACTAACACAGGTGAGAATGCTAGAGAGAGAACTAGTTAATCTTGCCACAAAAGCACAATTTTCAGCCAAACGTATCAGGTTCTCGGTATGCACACGCGGTTGTTGCATTATTTCGGTCATTTTTCGGTGGGAGAGAACGATAGTGCTATTTTGTAGACAAGCACTGAACTCAATAACATGGATGACCAACTTACGAATGTTCACTATCCGATCATGCGTCAGATATCCTATGGCAATATTTTAGGGGGATGCTTATAAGGTGACTATCATCTTTGGGTGACGAAATTGGTCGTTATGACGAGCGTCATGAGCCTTACTATTTCCACTTACTTTCATCGGATAAGTTTGCCAGTATTGGCTGTTACGCACGATCAAAAAGGATCATCTATAACGTTTTTACTAAGTGGTTTTTATTTTCATTGTGCTTCTATAAGAGGTGTGCAGTTGACCAGGAGTGCCTAAAAAGTTCCAAGGAGGTGAGGATTTCGGACAACACCATTATTCAGCCGTCCGTCTGTCCGTCCTGTTACCACACGTACACGAGTCTTTGCCCTTTAGTCGATTCCAATACTAACGTTCTTATGACTTTTCGACACAATGACAACATCACTCTGCGCTTTCTAAGTGTTCCCTCATTTCACTGACGAAATGGATTGCCTTCTTGAAATAATCGAGAAGATTTGTTTCGATTGCCTGTCTTGATTAACTCATTTTGGACGGTTTGGTAACGTACCCTTTTTTTCCTGATTTCAGAAAGCGACAGAAAAACCACGTTCCCTTATTGCGCGTCTGGGAGACCGACGATCCTCATCCTCAGGAAGATGTGAGTTTTTGTGGTCTAATTTTCTTACTCGTCACCCTTGGTGAAAGAGGCTGATAGGTCAAGTCGTTATTAAACGTGTGGTTTACAGGGGAATAGGGGATTCATAGTCAGCACCGTTCCGTAAAACTAACAAACACGGATGTGAGTACAAACACGGAACCTGTAATAAGGCAAGAATCGATGCTTACACGGATAAAACATGTGTGAACAGGACAAGCAGTGGCACTTCAGATATAGAAGTGCTACCGTGAGTCTTGAAGTTAATAGATTTCGAAAAAAAAACAGAAAGTTGCAGAGAATTTCAGAGACGGGTCGCTCTGGATGAAACGACGAAGCAAGTTGCTCTCTCCGGTTGTAAGGTACTTAGTGTTGAAAGGGCATGATTCGGGATACCACAGCAACATCCCATAATTTTATGGATCCGGGGCAATGGGGAAATATTTATGAGAACAAAAAAGGAAATTCTATTTTATGGAGTCTTAAGTCGCGATTAATTTAGCATGCGGAGAGTGATTTAAATTGTTAAAAAAAACTCGACCAGAGTGAACATTACTGGGAAATGAGGTTGAAGTCAACAAAAAGTGGAAGACTGACTGGCAGAGGAGCATGGAAACATGTAGATATGTGGCTGAATCGGAAGAAGCCCAATTGTAAATGTTTGTCAGATCGTCCTTCTGCGCACCGTCGATATGTACACGGTCACTATTGATCCGGAGTGAGACTGGTCCAAAGGGCCGCATATTGTGCAAAGGCGTGAACACAACCTGAAATCGGATAAGAGTATGAAGAGTGGCAGTCATTAAGATAAAGGACGAACATACAGATTGACGACTAGGGGTTGTAGTGAATCAAAGAGGTAAAGAGGTTGATCCGTGGTCGGTTTTCTGTGGATGTTGAAATCGCCAGCAGTGGGGTCTTAATGTGCATATATCCGAGGTTGACACTCAACAGAGGACAAAGACCGACACCCAAGCGGACAACAATCGGAGGAGGTTAGTGGAAAGAAAAAAAGCAGAATGAATGTAAGCCATTAAAAACGGTATAATGGAACAAACGACATTTTTTTAATATCTACCTGTGGGCGACGTAACAGTTGGGTTGGGATATGGTAAGAGCAGATAAGCTGTTTCTGTTACAGTTCAAACTGTGGATTTTGCAGAGCTCAGCTCTAAATCTCCACAGGGAGCAGCCAACTTTTCTGTTTACTGGTTGATGGACTGGCATCCCGACACATGTAGGACTCTTATGGTTTGGACGTTGTTGCTTTTCTGGACGGCAATATCAGTCATCTACTGGTTTTGGGATAACTCTTTTGTGATAATCAAGAAAGACTAGCTAGACTGTGTTCATTAGACCAAATAGCTGACAACTCGATCTTTGACAAGAGGTGATCAGTAGTGGTTAGACCAGTAGTGATCACAAAGCGTAACATACATAGGCATCAACGTTTGTAATGTAAGTTTTTCGCTTCTGAGATGCAAACCGTTCAGCTGTAGCACCCTTTCGGTGCCTAACTGCCATGCCACCCGAAGGTTGCACGAGGGCTGGGATACTGCCAAGTTGCCCAGGCCTAGACAGGGAAGTCGAGAGGCAGAGGTCGGGCTCAAACCACGGACCTTCCGGTCAGTAGATTCGCCCTCTAACCACTTGAGCCATCTCTCCCATTTCCGTCTAAAAAAGAAGCACTTAGCTATCGCACGAAACAAGCTAGTTAGTTGGTCCGCGAAAGCCCCCTGAGCTGCAAAGTTAGGACGGGATACATCAGGTGTTAATATCGTTCGCAATCATCCGTCCGTTTCCGGGGCAATCGTCTGTAGCCATTACCCGAATGACAGTCAGTTATTAGAGCCTCCACTTAAACATCATTTTGCAAACGTTGCCTACACGGGCCTGTCGCAAACGGCTAAAAATATATATGCGGTTGTTTTAACTAATTATTGTACTCGCTCCAATGCGTTAGTCTCGAAAAAAAAACTCGCGAACAAACGGGTGCAAAAATTACAAGGAGCGTCATGGTATTTAAAGCACACTTTTGACCTTGAATTCAAGCTGTCCGATCGGCGTTGGGTGAACAGTCATTCCCGTCGACCGTTGCTTCTATGAAACGCCTGGACACTCATCATCGTCGACCTTCGCTTAAATGACTAACTGCTTGACCGTTCAATCGGAAGCTGGCCTTTATGGCTCAGGTCGTTGAAGGCTTCCCTGTTGCGATTTTGGTGCAGTTTGAGAGTCTCAGTAGGTTTCGGACATTGTTGGTTTATTTTCAGGAACCTCACCTTCCTGTCAACGGTCTACACTGTTAGTGGGTAATTATTGGGACATCAGGGATAACGATGGATAGGAGAATATGGCAAACCGTTGATTTCAGCCACGCCCTTTACGAATATTCGAGGTCGACCTTTTGGCGATGTTTCTCTCACTCACCAACAAGCTCATCGATGTACCGTCGGCTGGAAGATGTTTTACGGGCGTGATTCGGTGAGAGCAAGCGACATCATCTCTCAGAAGTGACGATACTAATTAGCGAGTCCAACTTAAAAGTGGTATGAAGGAACGTCGCACAATGAGGTTCTCTCTGATCGTATCGACGAACGGTTCCTCTGTAAGCTTAGCGGACATACCCTACCCATCTTTATGGATGTTGGTGCACCGTTGCCAGCTACCACCTAGGCTTATGCTACTCAAATGTTGTGTAAGTGACATATAGGGAAGTGGTCTTTTGCTCATGTTGCCTTATCGCTCCCTTTGTGTTCCCTTCAACTAACTCCCTAACTTTGTGCGCTTATTTCAGTATTTGGATTGCTTGTGGGCGCAAATTCGGAATATGCGGGCCGGTGGGTGGCAAGAGAAGGTCACTTGGCGCCTCTACGATTCCTTTCCAAGTCTCAAGGAATTGGGACAACCACACCATATTCCTCCAGTACGCATGGGCTGTTGATATTTCATGTTATATTATCGACTGAAAACTTAGTTTGTTCCGCAGCCTTTGTCTTGGTACTGGTATTGCCATCCGTTAGTCTTCTCGAATCGGCACTGATTGCTATCCACAGTTTTTGTACTACTTTACTGAAGCACCGTCGGCTCGCCGATTCGGTGTCCTTCATAACCGGTCATATACGAAAACCTTACTTACCGGTGCTGAAAACCAATGAGTGAAGCTATGGGAATGCATTTTCGCTCATTGTATAACTTTTTAGCTGGTAACCACTATGTGCCATTGGTCGGTACCGTCATATCAGCCTTTTGAACTGTGCCTTCTGTTCTTGTATACGGCTAGGTATAATATATTTTTTCAAATGCCATCGTACGTAACGCTATGAGCGTTTTTCTAGAAGACCACAACAAACAGTTTCGGGTGATCTCCAACTTCTCAATGGCTCGCATGTATCCAAGCTGTTGCATTCAGGTTTCAGCTTTCCCTCCCAATCTTCCCAACGAAAGTTCACTGACACTTCCCTACTCACACATAAATTATGTCAGCTTCCGCCTTCAATGCGTAGTTTTATTCCCAGATCATCAGCCAGTGAAGCTGTGGTAGCTGTAAATGGCACGGTTTTTGCAGCTGAAGATGATGATGACCTTCGACTTCTGCATGGTCCTATTTCTCGTCGGATGTGATATCATCTCCTACGTATGTTTTGCTATTTTCTCTTCAACTCAATCCTCTCATACTTTTTTGACTGGCAGCTAACTCCTCCAGATTATGACCCTGAAGTCGCTTATCCCATGCCACGTGTGGTCTTCCGCATGTTTGACTACACTGACGTGATTGAGCAAGATGACGACAGTGAACCAGTCCCGGATGCAGATTTGGCGCTTGGTCAACCCAAATCTAAGGAACCGCCCGTCCTTCCAGGCGCCCACACGATTGAACGTTTCCTAATCGACGAGCAGCTCACTATTTTAATGAACAATCTGAGCTTCAATCGGGTTTGGTGGTAAGTTTTATCCGATACCCTTTTTTCAGTCTTTAAGTTTGAGCATTTTCCAAGCTTCGACGTTAAGTTTTTCACATCACCACCCTGCTTATCATCCACTACCTCATTTGTGATCCTGGGTTTTCATGGCCAGAAACTTTGGCACTTAGTGGACTGTGAGTTGTCATGATTCTTGTCTGCTTGAAGGTTGCAGGAAAGCAGTGTACTTGGCAAGAAAAAAAACAATTAGGAAGTCAAGTACTGAGCAAAAAACCTGCTGACGTTAGGGCTCTCATCTGCCTTCACTATCTTAGTACGTGATAACGAAATGATAGATCGTCTTCCTGACAGCTGCGAGTAAAAATCGGATACAGATGGTGAGGACGAATGTGAGGAACAAATGGGCTTTTATTCGATCACATCAGTCAACCATCGATATGAACGTTAATTTTTTGAAGCTGCCTTGTAAACCATTAGTGCTTATTTGGGACATCTCACTGTTCCACGGTGGTGTGCCCACTTCAATATATATTTGTCCGTCTGTTAAATTGTTATCTGCTAATGTCCTAACAAGTAACGATTGTCAATTCAGCGCCAAATCAATGTTGAGTCTTCGCACGCGAGCACGTGTCGCTCTTGACTACATGATTGTCGAGGTCGTCTTTGCCGGCATGTTCAATCTCCCTTATCCACCCGTGCAGCATGGGAATCTTCTCTTCTACGGAAGTCTTCTAATCCAGCTTTGTCAAGAAGCCAGTAACAGCATGCCACTTGTCTTAGCCCAGGCAACTGAACTGCTGTACGAACGGCTTAATACAATGAAACCCGTCTGTATAGGCAGGTGAGTATGAATCTGTCTCCACGTCGCATTTTCCTCAGTTCTTTTTTGGTACAGTGGTCCTCTTGAGAAGAGCCCATCTTCTGGCAAGTGTTAACGTTTGTTTCGCTCGTAACTACCTCGGCTTTTCGGATGTAATTCGATTGGTATGCCGCACTGCCAAGTCTAGGGAATGCATGACTTGGAAATTTTCCACTACTCAGTTAACAAGTAGTCAGTTTTGTATGTTTCTAGATCTCATGGTTTAAAAGACTCATTATCTAGGCTACACAGGCGCAAACTGGATGATACGAACCGTTAACGAATGGCGTTGAGGAGAATTTGGGGTAGCTCAAGAGCTGATTGGCACTTCCTAAGCGAAAGTTCACGGTCAGAAAACACTTTTTTGCCTCATGATTGTTCTCATCCAGACAGTGAAAGGATGAGATAGCTGCACAGTGTGGTTTTTTGAAAAGAAACTTGAGAGTATACTAAACAGACCGTATACCGTTGGTGATACCTAGTAGATCCCCAGTTGGAACCCGTTGTGTCCTCCAAAACTATAGTACCGTCAATTATGGAGCCAGTAGCTTAATCAGAGGTCTTCCTAATAAATCCAATTATACACCAAACCAATTGGAACATCGTTCCGAGCTATTTTCAGTGTAATTTTGTCGTCTGTTGGTCCATTCGGCTGGGTCAACTGAAAAGTGCGTTCATGCAGAGGAATTAACAGCTTGCCGAACTACTCGCTGGTCTGGGAGTAGTCTGTAAATGGACGAAGTCGTGTCAGCCGTGCTTCCCTCCTAACAACATAAAAGATTTATTTGTTGGGAGTAATTATTCTCATTTGACACAATTAGATGGACGCTGAAGTTTGTTGATTTGACTGCTCCGTACCCCATGTTCCCCAGAAACTCCTTCAGCCTGACAGTTAACGGAATAGACCTAATTGTGTTTCAGTTTCCTGAAAGTGCGTTTGGAATAGGCGTCCCGTTTTTCTTTCATCTTAGTGTATGTACAAGCCAGAAGCTGGCTATTTTTGAAAGGTGTTACGTAAACTGGTACCCAAATCAACTTTAATTCGAAGGTATCTATGTGACATCATCTTGGAACTCGATTTAATTCGGTTGCTGTCATCAGTATGGTCACTTTGTAGGTAGGTGTGTTTTAGCTCATAGTCTTTGAAGAAATCCACGCGAAATCCAGGCTTATTTTATGTCTTCGAGCTCGAGATATCTCAGTGGTTAAGGCGCTAACCACTCTTCAAGGAGTAATAAATTGATCGAAATAGAGGTCTGTTTTTGGGGGGAAAGGAACGTGATATTGAACCTCTTTTTACCGAAAAGTTGATGATTCGGTTTGCAAACTTGACCGTATTTCGTCAAACTGCTCGCCTATATGGTGGAAGCCAGTCTGCCTACTATTAGGCTACTTTTGATCATAATTTGTTTGACGGTTGAACAATGTCCTCATGTTGCCATCGAGGGTTGCGTGTTTAACATCATACCGTGGATGATATTCTGTACGTTGCGCACACGTCTTCTGATTAGCAATCGAACAACCATAAAAAAGACGAGGCGGTGAATAACATAGGACAGCAGACTCATTGCCCACCTCAGTTAATGAGCTTTCACGAAGGTAAAATTTTTAGCTCCAAATGCTTATTTCTCATTTCAGATTAACTCAAATAGAAAGCAGTTGCCTCACTCAGACGTAAGGTTTTTTCAAGGCATAACTATTTGGCTCAAGTTTTCTTCATTTGACACGGGAATCTAAGGATTACATCACTCTCTGCCAGTGGGCGCATCTCCTACACAGAACGGGCTACTTTGACTAGGTCCGTTTGGCGGTTGCAGTTAAGATAACAACCTAGTTCGATATCATCCCCACTTTGGCACTCTTTGTGTTTGCACACAGAACACATTGCAGTTCAGCCTAAAGTTTTTGTGTAGGGGCGGCCTTTCTTTTCTCATCGATTTCTAGCTGACTCTCTATGATAGCGTTTTTCCATTGCCTGACTGGCTGCGCTGAGATCTGAGTATTAATAAAGGATAGTCTATTTCTGAGATACACTCATTTGCAAATCACTTTGGTTTTGCGGGAGACTCACCTGGAACCTAGCTGAATCTGTCGTTAATGATGTTTTCAATTTCTATCCATATCTCGCAGCTTCATCGATCCTTTTGAGGTGCCATGCTATATGTGGTGGCATTTTGATACGCCTTTTGTTCCTCCCCCAAGTGCCCTAATATCTTTCCTACACATAGCATAGCATTGCAACCTCAAATACTCGTGCACGAAATGCTAGACAATCGTCAACATGTTTAGCAAGGTGAAGCTTCATTCATCAGTTTCTCGACTTAGATGTGCACACAATTATACGGCGGCGAAATGATGAATAGGCGGTTTACCTCTTAATGAAATTTGAGTGGAATGCCCTCTAAATAGCAGCACATGGTGCGTCCCTTGGGGCCATCGTAACTCAGTTGCAGTGTCCGCAGATTAAGTTATCCTATAACAGTCGTAGTCTCCACATGCATATCGTTTAGCTACCGAGTGCCGAAATCATTTTCCCTCTGATCGATGAGGCCACCATCCTTGCCTATTTGTTTTGTTCTCGTTTTAGAATGATTGAATGGTTTTCATACCATCTCAGCAATTATCAGCTACAGTGGAGTTGGCGCGAATGGTCTGGAGCTATCTCTGAAGATCCTATGTCGCCCCATCGGCGACTCATCACTGAGACGTTTGCTCGGTTAATCCGGTATGTACTGTTATCCGTTTTCGCCTACGAAAATTTAAGCTTCATCTCCTTCTGCACAAACTCTTGAGTTCAATGAAGAACAGGATCAACCTTGCCAACAGAGCACGTCCCATGTAAACTGTCACTTCGATTGTGCACGTGTGGTGTTATAAGCTAGTTTACTGCAGCATCGGTGTCAACACCGATGTTGCAATCTCGGATGATGATGATGATGCCAGGTTAATCGAAAGTAACACCATTGTCTAAATGCAGTGATTAGCTGTTATTTAACGGCTTGAGGTGAATCTACAAAAAGGTCTTATTCCCACCCTACTCAGGTATTTGTATTTTCTAGGTACCCAGTCTAGATGAGACTTGTACCGATTTAGACCACATTCCTCAGTTTCCAGTCAAATGCGAAGATGAAGGGTATGTTTCACCGAGAGTGGGCCTAGCCACACAGTCTATTCATCAACGCCGTTCACCTGATGTGACTTCCCACATTGTGACTTGCTTTTCACTCTACTGTGATGTCCAGATAAATCCGTCTTCATGGTAGTGGCGTAATCCAGCCATAGGGATGCGCTTTGGAGAGTACACTCCTCAATGAACTACCTTCTGTAACCGAATATTTTCCCATACTATACGAACCCTTCAATGTCATTCGATACAGTTTGTTGCTTGTTATGAGTCACGCCTTGCCCACCTATGGTAGAACTCATATTCTCTCAGATCTGTAATTTGGAGGATAAGGATAAAGCATTTTTGAAAACATTCTCGAATCGGACCGTGAGAAGTCACTAACACTCCGACTTTCCTTGACTCCCCCCCCAATTGGTTGAAGTGAAGGTTGGGGTCTTCAGTTGTCCATAGGAATAGGTGGCAGACTAACGAACACGCAAATGACTGTCAGGCAAGATTGCCCGAATGATAACTGCCCGTGAGAAAGACCCTCCTATGTCTTGTGTTGATCGTTACTGTCGGAAGAGAGTCTTGAGATAAGTAGTTTGACCATCTTATCAATGTTTCTGTACTGTGCACTTTGACCCATTTCTGCTACACAGCTCCAGCCAACATGGTGGGTTATGAAAAATCATCATATACGGGTTACTTTTGGTTGCGCAATAGTCTTTCGTTCTGACTTTCAAACTGTACAAATATCCTGGTTGTGGATGGCTGCGGATTTTCAGCATTTGTATACACATCGCTTTGTTTGAAGATACCTCCGGTCCAATTATTCTAGTTGGTTCACACCAAAAAATAGGAACGATGGTTTCTAGTTTCGCTCTTATTAGAACTAATCAACAGTGTATATCATTGACGTGCTGGGAGTTGAACTCTGGGCATCTGACACGCAAGACGAGCTTCCTTCCACCACTCAGGTGCGTCTAAAGTGCGCTCGCATCACATGCCAGATGTATGGGTCGAACTTTCGACACGGCTGCGGATATACACTGCTCATGAGCTTTAATAAGTGCGAAACCCAACCTCTCTTTGACGTGGAATGGCGTCAGAACAGGAAGACAGTTGCTCAAACAAGATTAATGTGAATGTAACTTACATCTATGTGCCTCCAACCCCTTCTAGACCGAAATGGCGTTTAAGAGTGGCTTTACGGTTCAACAGCATCCGGATTGATCGAACCATCTCAGTTTTTCTGATAGTGGGCATCAGCATTGTCCTCTTTTTATTGAGTATGTTTTTTTCTTCAGACGCCGCGTCAACTTCCATTGTTCTCCTAGGCGCATTTCTTTACTGGTTTTGTTTTTCGGTCTTGATGTTTACGGCTGTGATGTCTTGTACAATTCCAAAAGGTTGATATAACAGTGTTTCCACTCGGTGGACGGTATAATAAACGGGGTTTCCAAACGATCCTCAGGTCTCTGTAAATTTCCGGCACCATTATGCGATACCGGGTCAACAACAATCTCCAAAGTGTTATTCTTTCCTGGCAATCATGGCCTGTTAATATGCGAAGTTCATGTAGTCGTACAAGCGCCAGAGGTGGCACTTCAAGCAGACTTTCGTAGGATAATTTCACGAAAATCGTGAAACTACTACTTGCTTAAGTCAGCTACATCGGTAGTACTTCATTTTTCTCCAATGAGAGACAACTTTCATCCATCCACTTCTGTGCTCTATCAATCTGAGTTCGAGAATTAACGCGTCGTTCTTCTTTAACAGGCGGAAGCTTATAGTGATGATGTGTTGAGATGCACTTCTTTATGTACATGCCATATGCCTTCTAGTAATAACAGTGGTACATTTCGTATCATATTCTTTATTAATTCTGAGCCACCCGTTTGTAAAATGAAAATGGATTAAGCACAAGGCGATTAGTTGATCCTAGCGAAAACGCAACTTCTTTCCATGCATATTTCATGTATTTGCTTGCGCTGTTTCATACAAATGTTACTTGTGTTTAAATTCCAGCTTTTCATACTATGAGAACGTAAAACGGTTGTTGCCAAAAGTTTTCTACCCCCTTCTTCCTCCGCAACCGGTTGTCGTTAATAAGTACGATGCAAAACCAGGTAAGTCGAACCAAATGCTCCTAAAGCCTTTTCCTTCAGTCCCCAAATGGCTGTTTTCCCAAATCGACCTGGCATCAACTACCTTATCCACATCTTATAATAGTATCCTAGGCTAACCAGGACTCCAGGAAATTAATTGTTACGACCGTTCGCTCTACACTTAGCCTTTTTTCGAGAAGAAAGTCATCACAACCTGAAATACTGTCTCATTGCTTTACCACTGAAGCAAAGAACTTTGAAGCCAACTTTGCCGAAATGATGTCATCTGGCTTTGTTCTAGATTGACTTGCTGCCTTAAACGTTCGATATCATTCGTACCATTATCGCGTGATTCCATTGGGCTCATCTTGAAATGAATGGGCGTGCTCACAGTGCACAAGGACATCGTACGATTTCAGCACAAATTCAAGATTGTGAACTCAGATAATTTGATAGCGAGAATGGAGAATAGGGAATGGGAAGCAGCGCACAATATTTCAGTAATGGCTGAGTTCTCAACTGTTTTTTCTGCAGCAGCAATATACATCCTCTCCATGTGGTTCTTGTTCGGCTGTGCAAAATAACGGAGGTGTGTTCAGGATGCCGCAGGTAATAAGGGTTGGTTAGCTGTGTTGGTGTATGGGTGTGTCAGGGTGACAATTGTTGACGTTCACACTTGTGGAATGCTAATCAGACCAACTTTATTGGAATTACAGACAACTAAATTCTTTATGATTAGAACGTTGATAGCTATCAGGTACCGTGGAAAACTCCCATCAAAAAACTTTGATGAGTTTGGGAAAGAAACCCTCCAAATTGCCCTTCAAAGGGGACCACCCGATTGATGAAGTTTGCCACAAACTCCGGCATAAAACGAATAAATCCGGTCGTGCTTGTTTTTGAAAGGAAATTAGTTCAATGATCCTGGGCGTGATCCACCAGCCCATTGCGTCTCGATTACAATCAGTTGTAGAAATCCTTGGAAAAGTTTGCCCACGGCAAACGAAGCGTCGGATTATAACATCTTATTCCGCTTTGTTGTTTTTCGACTACAAAAGATTCTGTATACACCACATGGCGCCTAATTTGGCCCGGAACTCGTAAGAATCTGGCCACGTTTACGTCAGAATACGTAACTCAACAACACGAGTCGATAATGGAGGAAAAACAAGGGCCATTTTCCGGCCGCATTGACAGCATGACGCGTTATCCATGCATATCAGAGACGCTTCCTTCATCACACCCACATGATAAGATCTCAGCACGCCTACCTGTCACGAAAGCAATGCTGGATAAGCGTATGCAACGAAATTTATGCGTACAACAGACCGACCCAAGCGATCGATTAGTCCTGCACATAACTACTGTTCAATATTTCTCATTCCGCCTGCTTCGGAACTGTACTGCCTAATCGAGTCCATCTTACTTCCATTTTAAGATCTGTATAATCGCATACGGCCGACAAGTATTACCTAAATGCTTACATCCTATAATGTGTGCCTTCTACATAACGAACTGAATTCTTAGTGGAGTGAACACATTTGGTTTTAGCAGGAGACTCAACTAAATTACAGGTGAATTTCTTTGTATTATTCAACTGAATGTGCGGCTCAAAATAATCGTTCAACTGCAACACTTTCGGTGCACAGGTGCCACACCACACGAAGCTTATGATGATATTCGAGTTACTGTGGTATATTTTCCTTAAAGGGACGCTACTCATAAGGTTGTCACCGCAACGCTGACAAGTGATAATAACACTTACAGAAGGTACAGGGATGAACAAGCTATTGGTTTCGATAATTCCTTACATACAGTTATTGTGGTTCTAACGTTGAAATGTAACTGCCAAGTAGAATACTTCGTTTCACGGGCTCGAAATAGCTTATTGGTTAAGGCGCATACTTACTGACCGGAATGTCCATGGTTCAAATCTGATATCCGCATATCGACTGCCCCTCTCTAGGCTTGGGAAACCCGGCAGTATCTTGGCCTTCGTGAACCCTTCAGATGGCATGACAGCTAGACATCGCAAGTGTGTTACACCGAGACCACGGGCTTAGATAATTGGGCCGAATCCACCAACATGATGTACATTGGATACAGGTAGAGTGAAAGTGATAGTGGTCAGTTTGTGTGTGTGTGAACAGCGTATTCGACCACGGTAGTGAAGCATTCGTATTGAACAGTGATGTTGTGCTGTCCATGATGCTTATGATAATTCGAACACGGGAACTGAGGTATGTGTACAGAGCGTTTTTGACGGCACAGGAAAGGGTCATAGAATTTGTTGACAATGGCCCCGGTTACGGAGATAATGTGAGATTGTGTCGACCTGACTTGGTGTGATTGCGTTCCTTGAAGTACCCGAAAAGAATTGGTAGCGTTTTGATGAATTGCTGGTTGACTGCACGATCTATGGATACACTGTTTTCACTAGTAAGACTGGATGGTAGGTATATGTTCCTTTATTCTAACTGAGATTCCCTGTCGTCCGATATACGCTGCAACAGCACGCTTGGGATGTGGACGGGCACTCGGTCTTTCACGTTAGTGGATAGCAATCGCCTATTTGTAAATGGCGCATGAAGCGTGATAGCAACGAACGTTTTGCTTGTGGCCTTCTATAGTCCATGCCTGATCCAGTCTGTCTGCAAATCACGCTTGAATGGCAGGTTAAGGTTGCGGCGACCCGAGGCTTCGGCGACAAAATACGCAGAATAAAATTTCCTGGAACGCTGTTTCACCTTCGGGTATTCTGTTATAGTTTTAGCTCATGTAGTAGTGCAAACTACGAACTAGGGTTCTCTTCTGTCCCTCGGGCACAAAGCTATCAAAATTGATGTACTATCCCGACCGAGTTGACTTTTTGTAAATGTTGTGCTTTAAACACCCTTGTTCGCGTCCGATTAGTCCCAAATCCAAAGCGGGAATTATTATTATCCATATCTTCTTCCACAATGATCTTGACAACTACTGACACAGGTGCCGACGAACTGGTTCAGAAATGATGGTCAGCACCTTTGCCATGAGCGATTTGGTGAACTCTATATGGGTCACTGCAATTTCGGTAAGCTTGGAGGGACGAAGTATAATGGACCCCATTGGTTCAAACATTTAAAAGCCGCGTCCGTAAATGAATAAACATACAATGACGATAGTGCCACGGATCACAGACCATTAGTTTCACAATCTGATTATCACCCTCACATACGAGAACCAAACTTAGTGACGTTTTCTTTTGCAGAAATATATCGGTTTGACTAACGTGCACGAGTCCTTTATAGTAAGCTTCCATTTTATGGTTGCAATGGGTCCAAACGATGTCATTTTGAAAGGGTAGCTGAGACCTATTCAAACTTTTTAAGTAGACTTGTTCTTTGCAACAATAGTCCAGCAGTCGGTTTCTTGAGCCATTTCTGTTTTACCTCGATGCCTCCGATGTACTGGCACAAAGGGAGGCCGTGGAAGTTGATGAAGTAGTGGAGACTGAACGAGCATAACTGTCAAACATTTAATGAACCATGAGGGCTAACAAGCTTATGTCGTTCAAGACATCGAGAGACTTCGAAGCGCACGCACATGAGTAAGCATCTCTCCCAATCTCGGACAGATGACGTATTTTGCATTCGTATTCTTGTTTGTACAGTTTTCTGTTTGGGATTCGTTTTCAGCGTACATTGTTTCTATTTGGTCCGTAGATTTGCCTTCAGCAGCTGCATTCCACCAGGTTCTCAATGCAATGCGAGCTAGGTCTTCTGCTAGTGACGTCTTGAAATTGACCCAACGGGTTTCTGACCTAGACCGCCTGCCTTCACCTTCTGCTACTGAAGATGACGAAGTAGAGCATGAAGGAGGCGTGGAAAGCAGCGAAGATGAAAGGGGCGGCCCTGCTTCGGACGAAGACATGAACGGGACTGAGGGTGCACAACTAGTGGACCGTGCAAAAAATCGGCCTCATTTGGTTGCCCGACGTCGTGTGTTTCAAGCTTCCCAACGCAAGGCATCGACAAGTGGGGGTGAGGAAAGTCACGGTCCGGAAGGAGAACTTATGTCGTCCACCGAGACAACAAGCCAACTCACCGACCTCTCTCACGGTGTCACCAGTTTATTGACGGAACTGTTCTTTTCTGCCCTTTTCATAGCTGGGCACAAAACTATCAGTCACACATTCTCTTATATAAAAAAGTAAGTCACTTTAACCGATCCTCCCATTGTTCTACCACTTGGAATTAATTACCGGCTTTTGTAACGGTTTCACCTCCGGTTCGATCATGTAGTGACTAGACCAACCTCTCTCGAATAAGCAAATGAGTAACGCATCTTCGGGAGCAAATGCTTATTGTTCTACGTTCTGACAACGCCATTCACCATGAATGTCATTCCGGAATCGCCTGTTACATCAGAGTACGCTAATCGCCACCGTGCACTATGGGTAACGCCACATGCTGTCTGTACTCAGAAGCCTTCCGTAATTCACCGCTCCAAGTCCCGTTTTCGTCTGTGTATTCATCTTTTTTGTCTCAGCTACCTCTGAGTATGATTATGCAAGACCTAACCAACGTAGCCATTACGCTTTTCATTCTGACGTTTAACGTAACGAAGAAAAAGAGTGAAAGCGAACATCTACCCTAATCCCATTGGATTTACCATTGTACTGGTTTGCTTGCGGGTAAATTAGTCTGGTTTTCTAAATAGGCTTTAGATGTGTAAATTGGAGACCCTCAAGCTTGTCTTTTCACGTGCACTCATGAATTTTACCACTCGGAGCTCAGGTACCGATCCATTTTTGAGAGTTATCTGTTTAAAGACCCTCTCCTGGAGGGGTTAGCTCTAGGTGACAAGGATAACGCCTGTTTGTGCCATCCCGAGGATTGTGGTCAATCACTTCTGTGACGGGGAACCGTGAATGAACTAAATTTCCTTGAAGATTGCAATTTATTCATTTTGGCTCATTTCCCAGCCGGTCCTCTGCTGAATTTTGCGGCAACGCACCTCATCACTAGGATGGTCGAATCGCATGGACCGCAAAGTAAATAATAATAATTAGTCAGGTGTAACATCCTTTCGGTGGTTAACTAGCATGACAGACCCGAAGAAGCGCGGGGCTGAGGTAATGGCAAGTTGCCCAAACCCGAACAGGAGCAGTCGAGATGCTGGGGCTGGGTTCGAATCACGAGCTTTCCATTCGGTTTTCTTTTGTTCTAGTGAATAATGACCTAACCCATGGGAAGTAGTTTATGTGTGACATTTTCCCCTATCCTAGTCTCAGGTCGGCCAACTACGCTTGGCTCGCGGTTTCCACACTTTAGCTTCGTGAAGTATCTTCTGCGCTTAGTGGACTACTTCTTCTGAAAGAGTTACATTAGTTAGACCTGGTTTTTTACATTTCCTTACTCTTGACCACTTCACAACTTACTTAACTCCAAGTTGTTTCTGTCTTCACCCCACCTCCTCAAAGATATGCAAGTGCAATCCACACTATTGCTTCTACAGTCGAAATTCAAGTCGAGGCCCTTCACGTACTTCAAGCTGTATGGATAAATCACCCACAGATGATCGTTATTATCACAGAACACATGTGTCGGTCTGGTCTGATAGATCCTGAAGCTATTGTGCGGTGGGCCTATTCTCCTATCATGACCTCGCTCTCTGAGATCCCTATCGGATATAACCCTGCTGGCGCACGACCGCGTATACTCGAGTGAGTTCTTCCCTAGATTAGTGTTTGAACTATTCAGACTTTTTCTATCGTCATCTGTGTTCAGCCTATCCTGCTGGCTCATTGACTATCCGATATATTCACCCTACAGCTTCTATGTGTGGGAATGTTTGAATCGAACCTTCATGANTGTAACGCGATTACAAATCGCCTAAATGCAGCCAAGGAACTGATGGAAACCGAAGGACTTCGGGTAAGCCGATTTACATTTTACTTTGACCATACAGTAGTTTCCTATCTAATGTCTAAAATATGCTAACACTAGTATTGTGAGGCTGATGGTTGAGGTACTGTGTAGAGTGAGTCCATTCCGCAGATAATCTGAAGCTGGGTAACAACTTGTGATATTGATAGTCCAGTTTTTTGAATCTGGTCTTTCTGCGGTATTCACTTGTTGGGTCTAAGGAATCGGTAATTTCAACTATTCTGTCTATGTGTACAAGCGCTGAAAACCCTAGTTTTTGTGATATTTTGGCATATGTAGTGTAGTTCGAGTTTCAACTCCCCAGTAAAGCGTACACATTCTTATGTTTACAGACACAAAGTTCAACCAGCGTGCCTCATAAAAGACACGCCGGAACAATACGAAGGTAGTTGGTATACTAGTAGGTATACATGTAAAAGCAGGCGCAGTTGCTGCAGCGTTGAGCTACAAGAATTGCAATCATCAAAACGTGCTGCGAATCGTTCTGCCAAAAACTGCGAGATTGTCAGTTGTTTCATTGACACCCGGGTCAGTAGAGCGTAGGACACAAACAGGCTTTAATAAAACTGGCTTATTTTGCCGATGATGTGCCGAATAGGAAGCTTCTGTATGAAAGATCATCCAATATCATTAGTCAGGAAAATGGGAAGCTACGCAAGATCTCTTCTGTTACTGCGTATTCAGACGGGAGGGTGTCCCGCCAGCCATGGGGCAACACATTCAATGAAGTGTTTTGAATGCCACCCGCGAAGGATTGCGGGTTGTAGAACAATCGACACTTTTTGGCTGAATAAGGCAAATAAAGAATGGGCTCTTCGAAGCCCTCATTTTTTTGTCAATAGAGTGTTTCATCTGAGCAGCATCAATTTACTTCTACTTCTGGATATCACCACATGCTGGGGTCATACAACGCAGGGGTATTCCAGAACAAATAACTATTGTCTCGGCTTAACGGCCGATGTATCCTGTCAACGAACTCTCCAAGAACTTATTCAAATCTCTCAGTTGTTAAGCCTATCAGACCCCATACAAACCCAGGGGATAGATTTTCAAGCATAACCGTTGGAGCGTTTCTTCTGCCGCAGGATCGTTAGCAGTGCTGTTTCTATGGTAGCAAAGGATTGTGCCACGGAGTATCACGTAAGAATGACACCTTGCACGTTAGGGTAAGCGAAAAATTCGGATCGCATATGATCAGCTCACGACAACATCGACGCATTTTGAATGAAACGTTGTCGATTCACCAGAAGCTTCCGGATTGGTCAACACTGGGGTTGAGCTGGCGCAGAGACTGGGAGCTGTGCGTCACTCAAGCACACGAACGCATCAAGAGCTTCTTTTATCTGAGATAACAATAGCGATTCTGTATCTGATAAGTTACGTGTGTGTGTGTGTTTAATTCCTCTATGCATATAACTCAGGTACGCAAACGTTTTCTTTTTACCTCGTCCAGGGACGTAGCACTTAGTTTAACTGTAGCTTCTGCAAAAAGCACACTGGATCTTACAATACCCTTTCATTTGATACAGCAGTAAAGAAGTGCTACAAAGGAAGGTTTTAGCCGATTCACCACGAATTCTCAGATGTCTGTCACAGCAGATGTATTTGGGTTCTGGCAAGTAATTCTCTTATGAGGGGACTGTTGTGTTTTATTGGGCGACACTATCCAATAAGCTGCACATTTGTGCGTGCTGGGTTTATCGAGTACCTCGTTTGCATTGTTGTGCTAGTCAACATATGTTTGCTTTATTATACTGATTGCTGCCAAATCAATTTGTTTTCTCTAGTCTGTCTCTCCTGGCTCTGAAAGAAGGGATAAATCTCCAGACGATGATGATGACGATGACGATGAAAATGACAAGCGCCAACGATTGGGAACTAGTAGAAGGCTGGATAAGCGGAATGCAATGGCTGGCTACGAAATGGTCTCTTCAGAAAACGAGGAGGATGAGGATGACGCTTTATTTGGTGGTAAAGGTTCCTCAGGCAGCCGAGTGGCGCGATTAGAAGAGGCGCGATGTGAGGCTGTTCGAAGTCAGTGCGCGGTTATTACTTTGCTACTGCATCGCCACGCGTGCCTTACCTCTGAACTGGCCGCTGAAATTGCTGGCGATGATTTGGATATTTCTTCCGTCTCCAGATCCTCGACTGCACTTCTGCATAGTTCCGGTCTAAAACTGGGTCTGTCAAAACAGGCACTACAGCATATCGCTTTCTGGCTGAAAGGGAGGCTGGTACAGGTTGTTTTGGAGGTATGCGGTTCGATTTTATAACTGCTTGGATTCGCTAATGAGATTTTTATCCCGTCTTTGTAACACGACAAATTTTGAACTACCGTCTGTGCCGTTAATTGTCGACACTTGCTCTAAACGTTTGGTAAGCTTCCGTGTTTACGTTTTCTGACCCCACCAACTCTTGAAAATGATATAGGATTCACATAGATTTGAGAGAATTTAAAAATAAACGACGTCCTGGTTTCCATAATAATGGACTGCATTCTGTTGGATTACAATTCATCCGTTTTGTTACGCATTGAATGGGCAAAGATATCCAGTCTCGTCAAATTTGTTTATCTGCAATAAATATACCACTCATGCTATTTGAATTTGATCAGATTTGCCGCCTTCAGTTCGTTGCAAGCAACAGAACAATTAAACGCGGGCCAAACTGTCACTCTTACTATTCATCGTGTAACATTCCGGTCCCTAAACGTTTGGCACACCACCACACAACTGCAGATCATTATAAGGTCTGCTAACTTACGGACAGTCATACAGCATGCATTTATTTTGTACTGACAAACAGATCATTTGTGCCCAAGCCCCTCCTCTCTACCAGTAGAAATCGCACTAGAAGCTCAATCCAGCATGGGTATTGGTGGCACTAAAAGTTGTGACTGTGGGCGCTAACAAGCAAAGGCTTTTCACAAAAGCCGATACCAATGAATTCAACACTGGTGCTGCGTTTCCCTCCTATAAGGTTTACCATCCGTTTCCGCCAAGCACGCTAAGTAAAATCGAAGTAACTAATGGCCGAAAATTCTCTTAATCGGCTCTAAGTTCCATAAGCACTTGAGCGAACTATTAAATGGACCGTCGTTCCTGTCAACTGTTAGAATGTTGATTATGCGTAGCTGAGTTGAGTGCACAGGTTCCTGAATAGCATAATACTGTGTCAACATCATCATCGACAATAACATCAGTGTTAAACACTGATGCTTCACTGTCGTACAACAGGTGATTATGCCATCGATACTGTGTCACATCATCATCGACAATAACATCAGTGTTAAACACTGATGCTTCACTGTCGTACAACAGGTGATTATGCCATCGACAGCCCAGTCAGTGAACCCTCGTAATATTTCTAGAGATTAACTGCGCCAAGATCCAACATTCTTCTATTCACGGGGCCCACCATTTTACAGCTTAAAGTTCCGTTGATTGGGTGCTAAGTCCGGTGAAGTTACGGCATCCAATAAATTGACCGGATTATCTGACGCGATTTCTTTTTCTTTGACGACTCACGAATATCATACTTCGGCGAGGCTATTGACCAAACTCCTGCAATGGTAGCCAAATGCGTTCATGATGCTTCCGGTGTTTGAGATGCTCGGTGTGACTATGGCTTTTAACCTCGGTTGAAACACCGTCACCTTGTGTGTACATCAGTGCCACATACAAGGTAGTTCAGCCTGAATGACCACGAATGCTGGCCGGTGATGAGCTAGTGGCGTCACACTGAATGGTAGCCGGCCAGCTGGTAACACCCTGTCCACAAGCCATTGTGAGTGCCTCCATGCGTTTTCTGTGCCTGTTGGACCGACAATGTTTAACATTGTCAGCTTCTGAATTACGTGAGAGTGAATGTGCTAGACTTCTTATGTGATCGCAAGCGGTGAATCGATCTATTGCTAATTTCACCTCCGATAATTTAGTATACAGTGAACCAACTGCGATAGTTCGGTCGTTGAATTTTATTTTCTATTGTTTTCCTCCGCTTTCAGCACTGTGATCAACTGATGCCCTATCTTGACAACCTGGATGAGTTCATCTGTGGTGCCCATCCTGAAGTACAAGATGTGTTCCAACAACTGCGTGCACTTCATTCGTAGGGTGGATACCCGAAACCACCGGTTTCACCAGTCTAACCTGGTTCGATCAGATGGGATGGCTACTTTTCACTGCCTTTTCTCATTTCGTTTGGTTTGTTCGCTCGTGGAACCCATCATTTCCAGTCGTGTAACGTGGCATTCTATCCTTATGGTTTTAAGATAATGTATGCACTAATTCCTACTGACTTTGCCTTGACTTACTAATTTTGGTTTGCACATTTAGAAGTTCTAGCCTATAGCGTCCTCACTTGATAGCAAGTGATTGGTGTTCTGTGTTCACCCATGTAGTTCCGGGGGTTATCTGATGGATGGATAAGGGAAACAAACTGTAATGAGCAACACTTCAATATTAAATGATCTAAATAATTCTGCCTCGCGGTTCGGCATGCGCTTCACACCTGCAAAGTAAAGTGCTACTGCAAGATTGGGTGGGCTCAAACCCTAGCCTCATGCTTGCGGATGAACCGATTGAGGTAGAAGACAAATTTGTTTA